TCACGGGCCCAGTCTATGCCCCCCGGGGCATTGACTTGGCATAAAAGAAAGCTTCGCACGTCCGGACGTAACCAGTCCGCGATTCGCATTGCCAAACGTATATTGCGCTGGCTGGCGCATCGAGAGGAACCGCGATGGGAAGAGAGCAACAGTAGCAGCAGGCATAGAGTGAAGGTGTTTGTAGTGTGGGCTGAGAGCGAGAAAATTTAGGACAACGCAGTATTTCAGAGTGTGGCAAGAGCGAGAAATCACCGTGTTCACGGTGCAGTGGACGGCAGCCGCTGACAGGACAGAAACAGTGCCACTGCTGTACAGCTTCCGCGGGGTCAAGAGGTCAGCGTAGCATACCGCCTAAACGGCCATATCTGCGGGTGGTGACCAGCCGCCACGCTGCATGTGCATCCACGGTTTCGTATTGATCAGAGGCAGTGCTGCAAAGCAGGGTAAGTCTTGAATGCGGCGTGTCGAGAAAAACTTCTTTTTTCTGAGTGAGCGCCGGTATTTACCGTTAGCTTGATTTGAAAATTAGGATTCGGAACTGTCCACCCACCGACCGCACAGTTGCACGCAGCGGCCGTCTCGCTCAATCGTACACCACCAACCTCGCCTTGTAGACAGCAGCAAAGGACGGAAGGTGCATTCCTTGAAGCTTCAGGTGGTGTCCTCTTGTTTTAGTGAGCATTGATTGAAAACCCTATCTGTGAAAGGGTCTGTCTCGAGAGCAAACCATGTCACAACCACTCACAGTTTTGTACGGACAAAGGCAGGGATAATTGGATAAGCTACTTGACGAGGCCTGCGAGACTTCTAGTTCGCCTCCTTCTGTGTTACCATATCTCCAGGATAACCGTGGTACTTGCAGCCGCAGTTCACATAGTGGATATTGGTGGATGAGTTGCATCGAGGACTGACTTTCGTCTCCGAGTGCCCGTGCTCAAGATATCGCCTAGCCCTGACTCTACGCTAGCGTCTTGTGTGTCCTACGAAGTCAGTGGCGATGGGCACTCGTCTTTTCGAACATAGTTTAGCTGAGTGGTGTTGAGGGCCTTCTCTCCGTGAAACCCTGCAGATCTCACCTGTAGATCTACTCTATACTAGACTATAGTTTGTACTCACGCTGACATGTTGTATACATGTACGTGTGTAAGATCTACGACTGCACAGAGTGCCACGGGACATTATACACGCATTGATGGTGGCCTCCTCGAGTGCTGCGCTGTCTACTGCGGCGCTCGCCCTACGGTCCGACAAGATTGCCTCTTGGCTCTGCTTCGGCGTTTTACCCTGGCCTCGTCTGGCACAGCTGACTCTTTTCTATCTGCGACTAGCGTCAGGCCAAGAAAAGCATTGGTTGCTCACTCAAAGGTTTCATAGGGTCTCGCTCTGAAGACTGAATGCCAGGTTTTGCTTACGAACTGCAGTATTAAATTGGAGTGCAATATGGTCTCTAGCCCAGAGCACGAGCACGAAGAAGTGTAACCTCGTCAGAATGCACTTTGCCTTTTGTTCCAGTCGATCAAGACTGAGTTTCGGACTAGACTGACGCTACTGCGGATATCGATAGTCGGCACTGGTAGCGGTACTACAGTACAGCGATGATGCGAACTTCTAAAAATAGTTCTAAAAATGCCTGACAAGGGCACAGAACATACCCTGCACATATGGCTTGTAACGATGTTACATGTACATTATAAATGCTTTGCGTGTTTCTAGATTCCTAGTGAATATTGGTCGTGACTTTAGGGGTATATCTGGCACGCAAAATCCTATGCGTAGCCATATTGTAGTGTGATCAGGATCATCGGGATTGTCTTGTCCAGTGTGTGACAAGACTCTGTGCTGCAGAGCGTTTTCCCTTTTAAGGATCATTTGCGAATTCCGCGACTCATCCACGAGTACTGTGGTGAGCGCAATGTTTTGGAATGCCGTGTCAGCGCTCACTGGTTTGATACTACTACTAGTACTAGTAGTCAAAAGCTTTGTCCCGATCCCGCAAGTATCCCGGATGTTGCCTCATGCCTAGCCCCTGCAATGCTCTGGTTGAGGACGATGCAGGCTTCACTGCAGACGGATGTAGGCCTCTTTGCCTCGTGAAGAATTAATTATTTACGACCAAACCAACTGGAAGCTTGCGATTTCATGCGATAGAAAAGAGGGAATAGGGAGAGAGAGAGAGAGAGAGAGAGAAAGAGAGAGAGAGAGATAGATAGAGAGAGAGAGAGAGAGAGAGAGAGAGAGAGAGAGAGAGAGAGAGAGAGAGAGAGAGAGAGAGAGAGAGAGAGAGAGAGAGAGAGAGAGAGAGAGAGAGAGAGAGAGAGAGAGAGAGAGAGAGGGGGAGGGAGAGAGAGGAAGAAAGAAAGAAAGAAAGAAAGAGAAATACAGAGAGACGGAGACAGAGAGAATAAGGTTAACCGAAATCAGAGGTGGAAGGTCGCATTACAGATACATGTACATGTAGGAGGTCGCTTGGCGGTTCCCTCTCACATTCCATCTGAATGCCTGTACATGCACTCTGAAATAACCCTTGCTGGATAATGCTCGGAAATTGTCAACTCCTGCTCGAAAGGCTTTGAAATTGGCAGAACCATACAAGCCGTATGGCAGGCAGCTTCTTGAATCCGGCTCCATTTCCTTATCCACATACATGTACCAAACAGGCATGAAGCATACCAGAAAAGTGTGAAATTCGGCCGATTTTTCGCATTCCTCGCCAAGGGCTACTTACGGCAAGAACTCAATCTGTGGAGAGAACGCTTTCCTCCTTTGTGGACTTTCTACTACATGCCGGGTGTACATGTACGTTTGATATTATTTTTAAAGGATTTCCCAAAGGCATAGCCTATCGGGGGGGATCTCCTAACAGTGAAAATGATCATTGATTTATATGCTAGTGAAGCGACTTGTGCAGGCAAATATATGCCGTTTATAATGAGCGCGAAATTGTGTCCGAAATTCTGAAACCACATGTGCCGGTACATGCCGGCATACAGCAGCTCTTGGCGGAGCATACCTGCAGAAAAATTGGCAAAATTCGGTACTTATTCTTGTATGTTTCATGCATGTTTGGTACGTGTGTAAAGAAATGGAGCAGGATTCAAGAAGCTGCCTCCCATAAGGTTTGTATGGTTCTGCCAATTTTACTGCTTTTCGAGATTCTGTCGATGTTACTAGCATTACCCGCCATGGGCTAGCACATACATGTACATGTACATGTACATGTACATGTACATGTAACTCTTGATGTACATTGTACATAAGTATAGTTGGCAAGAGTAGTATTACTATTGGCTACAATAATTATGTATATTTTCATGCAAGTCCATTGCTGAACGTGACCCACTGAATCCTCATTATCCTAATTGTCAGGCAGAAGCGTTTCAAATGGCATCTCTACTCTTCCGGCCATCACCCGAAGCTCGTGTCTTTTCTTTGCGCCAGCATCACACTCAAGCGGAAAGGCACGTGGCAATGACCAGTCCAAGGCTAGCACGCCATGGGCCAGTGCAGCACTGCCAGTAGGTGAAATGCATGTGACCAGCGAGGTGATAAGGAGATGCACTGGAGAACGTCCCAACAAAGGGTTTGCTTTTCAAGTGGGCCTCGCCACCTACGGGCTGACCTGGGCCATCTATCGTCTAGTCTAGTTTATCTTTTCAGTCATGGCCGTTGCCTTTGTGTCATCCCACGGGACACGGTATGTGCCCGTGGTAGTGTGAGTCTGCGGAGTATGTGATCCTCCGTTGAAGGGGCTCAGCTGTGATTGCCCTGCCGACATCTCCTCCATTGTTCTCGTTGAGTTTTCCGGGCCTCGGGTTCGTCGCTTTTGAAGACGCGTTGCTTTCTCTCCCTCCGCGGCCCGTCAGGGTCAGTGTTTCAGACAGCGGACCCGCGCGGGGAAACAAAGAGAGGACTTGATTCGGGCGTGTGCGACGCACCCGCAACTCACAAGGGTCTCGACTCGACTCTGGTCAGGTGGAAACTCTAAAGTCTAGATCAACTCGAGAAAAGAACAATGCTACTATCAGTGACCACAATGGGGTAACGTGATTACAGCGCGAAAACAGAGGGCGCCCCGGAGTCGGGTATTGACTGCCAATGATAATTGAAGTAGATAAAAAAACCAATCGTTCTCGCATACCGCACCGTGTTCCATTGGCCAATGAACATGCAGTATGCACATGTATCCTTATGTATGTACTTGACAGAATTCCACACTCGACTACGGCTATCAAGCTGACTTTCTCGTAATTAGTCCTCAATGGTGGACACACAAGTATTAGTTAGTTCATGCATACACCGTAGTCTACATAGCGGATCTACTTGGGCACGCAACGCTGTATAGTTTGCCAGTATCATAGCGGGTATACCGGTCGATCTGTGTGCGTGAAATAATTCCAGCTTTTCTCGGCAGCTTGCTGCAATGCAGATACTACTACAGATTGCAGATCCAAAGTACATGCATGATGTTGGCAAAGATAAACGACGTCAAGATGCTACAATGTAGTAGTAGAAAGCCCAAGCCGGCAAAGGTCAAAGTTCATCGTTCCTCGGAAGTCACGGTTTGCACAAAGAAGACCTGCACATAAACGCCAAAATTGATGCGTGGAAAGTAGATCTACGACCCGATCCCAATCCCAACCCAAGCCCACGCCGACGCCAGCGCAACTTCGAAGCTCCCGTCCCATTCGGAACTAAAATGGTTACTTCCTTGCTGTTGTTACGAGTTATGAGTTGTTAACACTTTTCTAAACCTGTGCTTCACTACAAGGCGGACGAGCTTGTGGTGAAACTAGTAAATACATGCCCACGTGGAATATATTTTAGCGCAGCCAGTGTGCTGTGGAAATATTCTCGGGTCAGCTGTAGAGGTCTTTCCGTGTTGGTAGTGTTCGCAGCGCGACGCGCTCGCAAAATGACAACGGGTAAACAGAGTTCGGATTTCAAGACTGCGGGAAGACTGAGTATCAAGTTGGAGAGGTGGTTTGCTCTATTGTTCGGCACTTCAGTTGCATGAAATGTTGACCCCATTATCTAGAAACACTTTCACGCGTGGGAGCCCAGCTGCGATCATTCCTCGATATCCCAATCCGATCTACAGCAATCCTTCGCTAGCATCGCCGGATGCACTATTGCTGCGCTCTGCGAGTGGTTGTAGTTCCAGAGTATCCTGTGATGAGATGGAGCTGCTTACCGATCATGGTGTTTGTGCGTGCGTCCCTTGCTCTTGACTCGGACAAGTGCGGTGATAATGCAGAACGTGTGCATTTACCCAGCACGTAATGAGCGTGTGTTGCACACTGACACGGTGACCGTAGACAAATCCAGTATCATGGGATAAGTATGTGGGCCGAGCTAGTCTGCCACGTGAATGGCACGATCCTCAAGTCCCAAGTGTGCCAATTCTTGAGCAGCTGATGGCTAGATCAGTAGATGCTGGCAATGCTCCCGCTGGACTAACTTGCTGTCAGGCCCCAACATGCAGGGACAATTACTGAACCGTTTTGTGGACCCTGGCATAAGAGTATGAAGCTCGTCCATCCTGAAATGGCTGCCAAATCATGCTCAGTCAATCATCTTCTGGGAGTAGTGTGGTGACTGTGTTCCGGTGCAATGCCTGAGTGTGGCGAGAAACAGCGGCAGGAGCAGCAGAGGTGGCAGCGTTGGATGTTGGGCCATCAGCAAGGATGAGCGACAGAACAGGTGGGGAAAAGTCACTGTTAGTTCACGTTGTCGCGTCAATGCTGAACTGCGACCGTTCGACTAGGGCTGCGAAAACCGCTGATTCAACACATGACGAATCCGATGCCCCTCTTCCTCAACTGTAGCTTGTGAAATGTGCCCAGATTCATCAAATCAATGCAGTTTGGTCCGGGAGAACACTGTAAACTCATGCCTGGATTTAAGTCCTGCACTTGATCTTGCTACACAAGCCCTTGGTATTTACTGCAGTTTTCATTTCGTGTAGCAGCTCAACAAATTTAATATTATTATTTTGATGTTGAAAACTTGAAATTGATGATGTTCTTTTCTGTGCTGTTGTTATGTCGTGTTTCTCTCTATAGAGAGATCGCTGGTGGATAAGCTTGTCCAATGGAAGGCTTGAGTTGCCGGGGGCGACTGCTCACAGCGGTTCATATCACCATGGTGATCATGGCATCGCTCCATGATGTCACAGCGGGTCGGGATCGTCGTCACCAGGACAGTGAGTTCTCTTGATTTTGTTTCGCTCATAAATCTCCTTTTTTTGTTTCCCAGCTTAGAACAAGATTGTTGTATTCGATGATAGATGAGATACTTGCTCACAACGACATGGGCCGTGATTGCATACATGTACATACACCAAAACACATGTACATGTATGCGTGCATACACGCATGCACACACACACACACACACACACACACACACACACACACGGCCCGGCTGTTTGAGTCACGGCTGGACCAACTTCACCAAATCCCAGCATGTTTCAATGTCATGTAGGATCCTTGATGGACATCATATCCTACGTAAAAATGAGCATTGCTAAAGTACAGAATGGCCGGACCAAGCAAAAACTACTTCCGCTGCTGCTCGCAGACCAGTTTTCATCTCCGCTTGTAGTAGATATTGGGAATGCACACATGCTTCATGTGTGCATCTGGTATTTGCTAAATCACACTGCTAAATTGAATTACGGTCCGCAAGTGCACACTTGTAGATTGAAGAGTGTGAGGAGAAAGTACCTTTAGAAGACCAAGGCCATTGTAAGGGACATTTGTCAGATTATCATGTAGCCTTTGATGTCGGCGACTAATGTCCTCCGTGTCCTGCCTATGATACTAATTTCTGTTGAGCACGTCCCGAAACTCAACTAGGAATTTCACTTGCATAGGAGCTGGTGCGTGACAGAACCCTCTTCCGTGGCACACGCTTGATCTCTTGGAGTAGGGGCACGATCGGCATCATTGTTGTTGACGGCCCCCTCTCTCTTCCTCTCTGTGTCTGAGAATTGTTCCTCTTGTCTGACGGCATTCCCAGGCCCAAATTGGTCCGTGTTGACATTCCTAGCAGTTACATCGGGTCGACACAGTCCTGCAAAACGGCCAATTTTTAGGGATTTTAGCGAAAGGTGTGGTTTCGCTAAAGTTTTACCGCGCTGATCGAAATTTTGCATGTACAGTACAGTAGTAATCATCCATATCTTTAGACTCTGAAAATTGGATCGCTAAAATATTTCATCGCGAATTGGTCCAGATTCAGAAAATGCAAAAAAAGTTGCCCCTAAAATTAGACATACGGTATGCTGTCATTCCTGTTAGGCCAACGGAATTAGAACGGAGAGAATAGATCCAGTGGTTTGTGTTCGACAATTCTGTGTGAAGTTCAGAGAGACCATTGGACACCTGTCATCGCGTACCCTTATCGTTTGCAGCTGATTCCGTAGGCACAGTCGACGCAGTTGAAACAGAATACTGGCAGATAGGGTTGCAGCTGTCTTTCACAACTCAGTTATCGTAGAGTGGAGTCGTCCGTGCGTTTCAGAACAAGAAGAGTTGATAACCACAGTGCCAGGAATGCTGAAATTCAATCGGCGCAATGATTGAAGCATTTTGATATTTTTACTTGAGGGAGCTGGGGAACCCCCCAAGGACCTCTTGTCACGTCAGAACACACTTTTAGAGAGGGGGTATCACCCGGCAAAGCCACCGGTTGGCATACATTTTTGCCACCTGCGCACTGGAGGAATCCGACCTGGTCACATCATTGCGAACATTGCTCAACAAGACACAGTACCCTTAGCAATGGTCAGTCAGTGTGTGTGTGTGGGTGTGTGTGGGTGGATGGCATGTTCATCATCGACATGCTTGTACTACCATAGAAGGTCCTGTTCTCAAAGAAAGGAATGTCGCCCTGTAGCGTATACGATTACCCGCTGTTCTGGCGAAAGACAGGTCATGATGTGTCCCTTTGAAAAGGAAATTGCAGCTTGCAAGTAACTTAGTTTTCTGACGCGAACCACTTTTATCGTGCCAACGGGCGGTAGTGGACCACATCAATGATAATGTGTTGTGCACGCATGCTCCTTGTTATCTCGTGTTACGCAGTGAAATTTGCATGCTATCAAGTGTGAGCATGGCTAGAAGCCAGAATGTTGACAGGGTGTAGCGGCAGTCCGGTAAACTTCACCGAACCGGTATCATTTTTGGGTTTCCATGGCGACTATTTATTTTATTTCATTTATTTATTTTATTTATTTCTGCACCTCGTAGCATGTCAAGGCAGCCAATTGAATTGAGGAGAGGGCGAGACCAAAGACGGGAAATAAGAAAATGAAAAGCATGTACACAAAACTACCTCTCGTTAGAGGACTTGTGACCTATAATTTTGAAGATGAGTGTAGGGCATTTAGGGAAATCATTAAGTTCAGAGATACACACACAACACACACACACACACACACACACTCACACACACACACACACACACACACACACACACACACACACTCACACACACACACACTCACACACACACACACACACACACACACGTGCGCGCGCACGCACACATCGATCAGCATGGGTCCATGCCGGTACTGGTTCTGGTCTGGTCAAGTACATGATGTCTCAGTCGATACTCCGAATGACAGAATATCAGATATCAAACACAGCTCACTAGCAAGATTGAACAGGCTTGCTACTGAAAATATGTCTTGTCCGTGTGGTGGGTGTGCCTTCCATGCCTGTTCAGTGTTTGTGTGAGCTTGATTGATTTCCAGACTGACTTGCATTGCGGCACACTTAGAGAAACTGCTCCAGGGTATCATCCGGGATTATTCGTCAGGAGATTGCCACAGCACCTTGTTACATGTACATGTACATCACTCCGAGTCTCTTTGTGTGGCCATCATGCACTGTGTCTGTGTATGTGTGCTGTACCACCTAGAACATGCACCAAGACTCCCTGTTTGTAGTACGTTTCAAAAGTATAGACCTCTAGATTTTTGAATAATTCAAATTTGTGTAGAAACTAGAAAGGAAAAGGACATAAGGATACGAGTTAAGAGTCACTAATTACATTACATTACATTAATTCTATTTATGGCTCAACATCCGAGTTTCAAATTCAAATTTGGTTTGAGCTTTTTGAGCAATGTCTTCAGGATATCGCTCAGGCAGCTCCCGCAATTTCTCTCATATAAATTTCAAAGTGATTGAATAACAGACGCCCAATTTCGGAATTTTATACACAAAGCGATCACATATTTTATGTGGTACAGGTGCTGGCCTAGCGGCTTTTGAAACCAGAGGTTTGGACTTTGAAACGCACTATAGCACTAGCATCAACGCCTTAGATCGGCGTTGTTAGCTCTGCCTCCCCTGCGCAGACTCCAAAATGAGCCCCTTGCAGTTACATATCCAGTCTTCTCCTTTCTCTGTTTGTCATCGTCGTCGGGCTTTTTGCTTCCTATATCTTCGTTACGGTTCATCAGTCGGAAGTGCAATCTTGTCACAAGCTAGTGGAGTGTGTGAAAACTGTGAAAACGAAACAAAACAGCTCATCTTATGCCATGCTCAACTTCCAAGAGACTACTGAAGTATGCGCATAGCATCATCATTCTAAAATGGGCCACGTTCAGCAAAAACGAACCTCCTGACCTTTCGTAAAATGTTAGCAAAGTTGTATAGGTGTGCATGCATCACCCAGAACCATATTGGTTGTACGGGCATTCAATTGTCATTGGCAATAGAAGAAGCTATGTACACTCATAAACAAGCTGTCATGATTCGACGCGCTCAGCAGCAGCGAGAGAGATAATATAAAATTATGCCGCTTAAAACAAATTATGCTATCTTGTTGAGAACCCTGCACAAGGCTCCTCTGCACAAGGCTCCTCTGCACAAGGCTCCCCTGCACAAGGCTCCCCTGCACAAGGCTCCTCTGCACAAGGCTTCCCTGCACAAGGCTCTCCTGTACAAGGCTCCCCTGCACAAGGCTCCCCTGCACAAGGCTTCCCTGCACAAGGCTCCCCTGCACAAGGCTCCCCTGCACAAGGCTCCCCTGTACAAGGCTCCCCTGCACAAGGCTCCCTTGCACAAGGCTATGGCAGTCATTTGGCTTAGAGTGTACATGTACATATATAGAGCCTTGACTAGGAAGTATTGTTGTACGAGCCTTGGAGTTGCATTTCAGTCAGACCTCACATATCCGGTCCTCTTTTATCCGGATTCCTCGCCATCGGGAAGAAAATAGCTGGTCACCGATTTACAGCATATGCCATGCATACATACAGTATGTATGTTTGATTATCTGGTTCCCTCGCCTGTCCGGATATTTCTCCTTTGTAGCTTTATTGTTTACCTGCCTGTGCTTGGTATTCAATTCATCCGAGGCTACCTGATCCATTAGTATAAGAAAAATAATAGTCACAGTTCACATGCCACTCGTGGAAGGATCCATGGGCTTAACGCATCTGCCAATGAAATCCAGGCGGAAGAGCCAACAAAAGGTATCTCAATAGTATTAGAATGTATTGCTGTAAAGAACAACTACGCAAGCGCAGCACATTTTTCCACAAGCACCGGCCATTATTGTCTTGTCTAGGACCAGTTTGAAAACAGTGATAAACAGTCTGATCCATTAGCATTATCATAATCTTATGTCACTAGGCACTCCACTTAGTTAGTTCAAGTGTGGGGAAACCTGATTTGCATGCACTTCGCCAGTGTACCCTGTTCACTATGCAAGGTATCACTGGAAGATCAACAAGAACTTGTAGTTCGGCAGCTTCATTATCCTGCAGCTTTGCTGGAATTTCGTGCACTTTTAGTAAAAAATAAATAAAAAAACAACAAACATAATTTATTATGAGTATGACCTTACACGGTTCATGATTTTTTTATCCAGGGCCTCGGGCTAGTATCATGGCATGTACAGCTTAAGTGGACTTGCCCGAAAAACCAAACGGTGCGAAGATTATACATAGCTTCCATTATTATGTGTGTGGCAAATCTCATACCATTGGCCTCCCCTCTTCTACTTGCCAGCTAGTAGTAGTATCAGACGGTGAACCACCACTGATGCAATTAGTGGTTCAGATACACGGTGTTCAATCATGATGGACTGGCCCCAGCACTTCACTAGAGTTGGCCTCCTTCCGAGTCTGGATGCTATGGATGAGTTTACATGTAGCTGTAGGTGTGGTAATCAACAGCCGGTGAAGGAGAGGGGCTTTGCAAGATGCAATGGACGGGAAAGAGACACCTTGTCCGTGGCTAAGTAATTAGTTTTCGAAGCTGGCAGCAATTCGAGACCAGTTGGTGCAAATCAGCATCAAGCCAGTATCTTAGTATCTCAATCAAGAGAACAAGTTGAATGGACATGTGGCTACTTCATATAAAAATGTTGTCAATGTGTGTTCAACTTGTTCTGTTGATAGCGATACTAATATTGTTATCTCCTCGCCGTTTGTTCAAGTCAGGATCTTTGGTATTGAAAAATTACACTCTAGACGCATGCAGATCCCCTACCCAGCCTAGGCAGCCATCAGACCAAGGCCTGACTGCCTGCATACATCGAGTTGTTTGGCGGATGAGGCAAGATGCCTACTGATCTTGCAGCCGGACCGGCGGAAGCGGTTTTTGATTGGTCCGACCTAGGCCGGGTGAAAGTTGGCACTGCAACCCGAGTTCGAGTACTCTGATTTTCTCCGATCGAATATTCGAGTATTCGAGTATTCTTGATATCCTAAAAATCGCACACCAACGGCCTTAAAAATCACATGATACAACCCTGATTGAACCGATTGGCAGTCCTTTTCTCGGGTGTATTGGTTGATGGGTCATTTGGGCTCTCTCTACTCATGTACAAGTGTTGACCACACAGTCTGCACATCAATATCTGCTGACTGCTGCTCTGAAATGCAGACTTCTGTGGCAAATGCATGTACCATGTATGAGCGAGTACTCTGATTTATTCCGAGTACGGTTATATTTGAAAAATCGAAACGAGTTTTCGAATATTCGGTACAATTGTTTCACCCCTAGTCCGGCCACAACCTACCCTACCACACTTGTGTATATAACATTTTTATTTTATTTATTTTTTTACTATTGACTAGGGGTGAAAGTTGGCACTGAGATCCCGAGTTCGAGTACTCTGATTTTCTCCGATCGAATATTCGAGTATTCGAGTATTTTTCATCTCCTAAAAATTGCACACCAAGGGCATCAAAATAACATGATAACAGTTACAACCCTGATTGAACCGAGTAGCAGTCATTTTTCTCGGGTATGTTGGTTGGTGGGTCATTTGGGCTCTCTCTACTCGTGAACAAATGTTCACCACACAGCCTGCACATCACCATCTGCCGACTGCTGCCCTGAAACTGCAGATTTCTGTAGTAAATGCATGTACCATGTATGAACGAGTACTCTGATTTATTCCGAGTACGATTATTTTTGAAAAAACCGAGCGAGTACTCGAGTACTCGGTATAATTGTTTCACCCCTACTATTGACACAGCCCTACTGGAATACAGGTGGAGAACAAAAAGAAACGAGGAAAAGGACAAAACATAGGGGATGTAGGGACGACGTGCTGATGTGCTGCATGGAGGGTATACACGTGACCTCTTCCTCCTCAGCAGTAAACAGAATAAACGCGCGCTGGTGGCCAAAGAGTAGGTCCGGTCATGGCCTGACTAACCGGGCCAGTCCGTACGGAGCTAGGAAAACCAACCATTCGTGATCTGGTCTTCTAGCAGAGTTTACTAGGCTAGTGAAACAACTCTGATATCAATATGGATGCAGAGACAAGATGATAAGTAGCAAGGGCACTATTAAAGATGTTTAAATCACACACACTTTAAAGATGAGCTCAGGTTTGTCCAGGCTGAAGCCCTTGTCTGCTCACACTTCGCCACTATCTCACACCATAGGATACAATTGTTCTTCATAGCCTAGGAGCTGTGGCATCATTCAGGATCCACAGTAAGAAGGCAGCAATGCCTGTACCTATGGTCAAGTAAAATAAAGGTAACATAACATACAAGTAAGTGTGCGAGCAATAACAAGTCTGTGAGGGTAAGAGAGCAGTCAGTACACGTATGTCATGGGCAACGGCCCGGATAAGCACTAAGCTTAGTACGTGGAGCTTGGCAATTATGGCTCAGGTTATGAAGGTGGGGGGGGGGGGGGGGGGGTGTCAGGACCCATACCATCACAAGCTCTGAGTTCAGAGCAGGAAGTGTGTTAATTACAACTCCGTGAAGCCAGGGTGTACGGTGTCAGGGACAAACTCTGAGTCTGGGCTTAGTGCCTGAAGTGTGTTAATTATCTCCCTACTTGCGTGAAGTATCAAGTGGATGATTAGCCCACACCTCAACAATTTGTGTTAATAATCATTGCTCTCCAGGTCCTTTAGAAGTACATGGACATTGATTTGAAGCCCACCAGTACTACATAACTGTTAAGTAAGGGGAAATGGGCAGTGTGCACGTTTTAGCAATAGAAGGGCTTGGATAATTTCCTGCGGGCATGTGAGTAATTATTGCTGAAGTGCTGCCGTCCTTGTTGGGTGGCGTTGTGGCCGTATATTTACTACTCTGCTCCCCGCTGTGCTTGTGCTTGTGTGTGTGTGTGTGTGTGTGTGTGTGTGTGTGTGTGTGTGTGCGTGCGTGTGTGTGTGGGCGTGTGTGTTTGTGTACATGTATGTGTGTGTGCATGTGGCTGCATGTGTACCTCACTCAACTTGTCTCAGATGACGACCACCAGAATGTCCAGCCAAGCACTCCTCTGCCCTTTCTGTGCGTGAAAGCGCAGGAAAATGTGAGTACCTTGTCAGAAGCAATTGCCGCTGATTGATTGCTTAGTGCAGTAGCAGCTGCTACACAAACCCATCACTATTGGATCCCTCCCTGTTTTAGATCTATTTTCATCCAGTAAGCTAAGCATCCATGTGCTTGTACAGCCATGCTGTTCAGGCAAACGTCCACCCTGGCGTTGTCTTTTTTTAAATGCGTCGTTGCCAGCTTGCATCAATGGCCAGTAGTGATGGATTTAGGCCTGGTATTGCATCAAGTGCTGCTCAATGAAATCCAATCAAGTCACGTTAGTGAGTTGAGTACATGCCGGGCCTGTGCAGTCCTAGACCTATAAACACTGATATTCTCACTGCAACAGGGCGCAAATGTGACTCTGTCGATTGGATTTCATTAAAAAGCACGGTAATAACAACCCCCTGACCAAAACCTCCCTTGTCGGTGCCTGTTTTAATGGTATTGCCTGTCAGCAAATACTTGACAAGGGAACATTGTGGAATGCCTGGAGCTGTTGCTCATAGCCCTCAGCTGTGTCTGGGTTCCCCCTCACAAAGACTGCCGAAAGTATGTAACACAAACATACACCATGCCAGTTGTGTCCTCAGGGCAATGTTTTCACATGGTTTTAACAAGTGTGCTTGTCAGCAAACAGGTTCCTGAAACGCAGTTGGTGATAACTTCTTCATCGGTGTCCCCACCCAAACATCTTTGAAATTGCTGAAGTGAAGTGTTGGAAGGCTGTTGTGATTCCCCGGTTGCCAAACAACTTGTTTGAGATGTGATTTGGCCTCACGGTTATCACAATTGTACATATCCCATGTTTCATTCCCAACCAGGAGACAATTGTGGTGGCAATATGATATTCCTTTTTATGGTTGTATCTCTCACGAATGGGGTTTTCGGTCTTTGACCACTTAGGTAGTGGGTCTGATCTACCCCCCCCCCCCCCACACACACACACACATACTGCTTTTTACGAGCTGCATCTATGCCTTGATCCTTGAGGATCGTGGAGTTCAGTCCGACGGATGTGGAAAAACCGGCCTCTGGCTGAGTCTCACGCGAACTGTGAACTTTTCCTCGTAAAGATGCAACCAGTGGGCACAGAGTGCTTGCATGCCTTGAAGGCAAAGCTTAGTACATAGCAGAATGGTGGAGTAAGGCTAGTTTTCTTGCAACTCTCAGTTTCATACTCAGTGCAATCCTCAGCCAATCCTCAGCCAATCACCAGTCAATCACCAGTGAAACCTCAGGCTATCATCAGTGTGACATACTCAGTATCCCACCAGCATTGAGTTAGCGCTTACACTCACACTTCCATTCACACCTTATTCCCACACTTACATCATCTACACTTGCATCGTGTTACTTATCACCTATGCTCTCCCCCCCCCCCCCCTATAAATACCATGCTATCTACTGCCATTGAGTATCTATTCCTCAGCTCAAGAAGTTGTTGCAATCAGGCTTTAATCAGGTTGCCTGGTGATGGCACTGGTTGGGGCGCTCGGAGAGTTGAAAATGAAGATCACAAATTGCTACGTAGGGATTCACTGGCCAAAAAAAAACACTTCAAAGAGCTGTGCGATGTAGACCAGGCTGAATAGTGGTGGTCAATTCTTCAGCAATACAAGCTGTTGAATGGTGCAATCCCAGTACAAGTGGCTATGGCTTCTGCTGTAGCATCTCTGCTGCAGCATCGCTATAATCGCCTCCGGCGATGGCCGTCAAAAGGTCAAAAGGTGTGTATGCATGTGTGTATGTGTGTGTGTGTGTGTGTGTGTGTGTGTGTGTGTGTGTGTGTGTGTGTGTGTGTGTGTGTATGTATGTGTGTGTGTGTGTGTGTGTGTCCATGTACTTCATGTATGTATGTTTGTGTTGTGTGTGTGGCAATGTATGTATTGTATGTATGTTTTGTATGTGTGTATGTATGTTTGTATGTGTATGTGTGTGTATGTGTGTGCATGCTTGGAATCTCCCCAGGGTCAGTTCATTCGCAGTCGTGACTGCTGTCCATCACCCGGTGCTATCATTATCCCTGTCAAGCCCACAACACAGCTGGGGCCCATAGAGTACCGTGACATCTCCGCCTCGCAGCTCTGCCAGGAATCCCTGCTGGGAAGCTCGAGCCCGGACATGCCGTCGCGCCGCATGCCAGCACGCAACGATAGCACAGCGATGCCGCCGTTGACGAGAGAGGACGAGGAAGAGGATCCACCCCAGCCAGTGCACCTTGCTAAAGGTCAGCGACAGGCATGCTGTGATGACTGACATGTTAACGAAATGTTAGAAACTGGCCAGCCCTTCTCCATAGACAACATTGGAGATTGAATATAATTATCCACCCTGCACACCACAACAGATTGGGTCTAGTGCCTGATCACTCTGTAACCGAAATCTAAGAATAATTATGAAGTCCTTTCCGCGAAGATCACATCTTTAAAATGACAAATCGAATACCCCTGCCCTCCAGAGTACTCTAACTGCAAGATACTTAGCAAGATTGTCTTGATTTATGCTGTATTGTGTTCTACATTTTAGGTGGACGTCCTCAAGACTGCAACCTGGACGGCGAGAAAGGCATGTTTCACACGTTCCATCGTCGCCGCTATCGCTTGCCATCCACGTGTGTGCACACGCTGGCCCGGGATTGCTTTCAGACGCCGCCTCGCTACCAGCTGATCGGAGAGATGGTGCCGTGCACGCAGAACCGATCCAACGGCTGTTTCAAAAAGGTACAAATGTGCTGGTGTGTCAAGCACATGTGTGTACAATCAACCTTGTGAATTCTGGTACAGTCAGACCTTGCTTACCCACTCCTGTTTTATCCGGATTCCTCTCAATCCAGATTAAAATCGTTGGTTACCGATTTACAGCACATGTCATGCATACATACAGTATGTGTGTTCGATTATCCGCTTCCCTCGTCTATCCGGATATTTTGCGGAAAACGGATGTGTGTGGTTAAGTGAGGTCTGACTGTATAGCAAAAACTGACGAATAGCGACACAATCGTCAGGCTTAGTGGCCATTGGCCTGCATACTTTGAACCTCACGAAAGTGACCCTTTTTCTCAGAAGGCAGAATTGATGTGTTGTGTATAGTTCTTTGCACTCCACCGACTGTACTAGATACTGAATCCTGGTAGCTGATAAAGATAAGTTTCTGTGCGAAGAGGATGAAATGCAAGAAAGCACTGGATAGATTGCCTAACAAGAGCTCTCCCCCCCCCCCCCCCCCGGGTCGATTCCTTCAATCACTGTGTCCAAGTCGTAGGTACCGTATTTTCCGGAGTGTAAGCCGCACTTTAAGCACCAGAAATTCACCCCCAAAAAGTCGATACAGCTCACACTATAATGTTCAAATTGACGGTGATGACTGGGGTGGATGTCTGTACTTCGTGCCAAAAAATGTGGGCGCGGCTTATACTCCAGTGCGCCTTATACTCCAAAAATGCGGAATCCCATTTCTTGACATCATCTCTTTTTCTTGTGTGTCCATTTCCTCCTTCTGTAGATTGATATTCTGCTAATGTCCGGTCCAGCGGCACTCTCCTCTCCTCTCCAATCTCCACCGGTGGCCAATTTCGAAGTTGTGCAGCTGTGGATGGAGCCCGGCGACATTACGGTGTTGAAGATTGGATGTGAGTTTGTCAGGTTCACAACAATGTTCATTTGTAGAGGTTAGATGTAAAACGCGACAAGCGCCAAATTTGAGGAATTTAGATCTTGATCTCAGTCTAATCAATACATCTAAGCACCTTCAGGCAAAATGTTCACATACAAGATGTCATTAGCACCACTTTACAAACGGTGGGAAACTATGGATTTGGGTACAAGCTGCACGTGAAATGAATCCTTTTCTTGCTGTTATCCGAAACATACTGAAAATGGATATGTTGTGTGTTACACAAGGCAGAACAACAGAGACCAAAAGGCTTTCTCGTTACTCCGAGTTTCGTGTTCCAAAACACTCATTGGACGAGAAAGATTTTTGGTCTCTGTTGTTCTGCCTGGTGTAGTACGCTCTGCCCTTGTTAAGGTATTCAGCACTATGTGCAGCAAGGACTTCAGACACTTTGTCTATGTTGTGTGTTACATCAAAACGCTTCATTTGCAAACCCTTTGCTGTGTCGTATCCCCCCCCAGCATCTACTACTCGACATCGACGAGGCTCGGCAAAGCGCTTTCTACCGATCCCGGGCAATTACGGTGTGGTGGCTGCGTTCCGTCGAACCGTGCGCGTCTACCTGGACTGGCTGAACATCACCATCGCCGTGCGATTCCCGCACTCGGTCTCGGTCAAGCAGAGCAACGCGTCGGACACTGTGCAGGCGGCTGCCGCTGGCGACTTGCACACGTGCGGACTGTGCATGATGGGTGCGGGCCGTCGCATTCCGGAACCGCTTCTCTGCTACTCCACGTGCAGTGCTAAGGGTCTGCCATCGGCCGATATGCGACGGGCCGACGAGTTCTGCCGGCAGCGCCTCGGAAATATATCCGCGGGCTGCCTGGCGTCGTCGGAGAGCCTTGCTGTGCTACACCAGTGTCAGAACACGTCGTGTGCAATGTTTTTTGACGGAGCGGAGCCAGACTCAACAGCGAGCATCCATCACGTGGAGCTGTGCCGTGTCATGAAGGACTTTGGACGTGTGTGCACGCTGCATGGACATACCGTAGACTGGTCACTCTATGAGAGCTGTGGTGAGTTGCTAGCATAAAAGGAAAATGTTCGCATACAAAGAAGTACTTTAAAAAAATCTAAGGGCAGCTATTTCTCTCTACCTTATCAGGTCTCCTCAGCTTAGAGGACCAAAGGAGGAGACCAAAGGAGGAGACCTAAGGGAGACCTAAGAAGTCCTTTCATCATAATTGAAAGGACAATGTGTGTCCGTTCATCCGTCCATTCGTTTGTCCATCCGTCTATCCATCTATCTATTTGTTTGTCCGTATGTCCGTCTGTCTGTCTATGTGCCTGCATGCCTGTAGGAGTCCGTTGCCAGAACAACATGGAAGTGGACATATGCGCACGACCGAGGACTTGCTCTCAGCTCTCTGCCACTACCACCAGCTCAGCAGGTAACACACAGCTGGATTCATCCAGCACTGATGACCAATGCACGATTGGCTGCCGTTGCCGTAGCGACAATCGTGTGCTGCACAACGGCAGGTGCATCCTGAAGACCCGGTGTCCGTGCGTGGACAGTGAGGACGGTCGGGAGTACGCAGCATGGGCTGCCAAGCGTGTCAATGCCACACACTGGTGGTAAGTTTTTTAAAGGCTCTGTGATGTACCCCGCGCATGCCAGTCTGTGATGTACCCCGCGCATGCCAGTCTGTGAACTCACGCTTTGGTGCAGAACCCGCTCTGCTGCTGAATGCTGTCAATTGGTCATGGGCCATGAGTTGAATGAAAAATCCAATCGACCCATTGCGCATTGCCAAATGTGGAATGTATGAGTAATGCTTGTGAGTACGCTGGGATCAGGAATGCACTGTTTTCAACACCCCGGACGTCCATGCCCAGGTGGCTGTGTGTGGTGTTATGTGAGTACGCTGGGATCAGCAATGCACTGTTCAACACCCCAGACGACCATGTCCAGGTAGCTGTGAAGGGTGGTTATGGTACAACTCTTA